TGGCAATATATAAATCATGTAATCAGTCCAGTACACAAAGTTTGCTAACAGTTGCAAAACTTACAATAGCTCCCGGCACTTCCAGAACAGCCCAGCATCTAACAAACAGAGAGAGAACTAACAGGCATTCTGGCTCCCTCTTATGGCTGATTGAGGAAAACAGCACCCAATCACATTTTACAGTATGCTTTAAAGAAACAGGTACACCATTGTTACATGATTTATATATTGCCAACACAACCATTAGAATTATATTCCTAACAATAGTGCAAAGAGGTTCAAAGGGAGGTCTGGTGAGAGCGTTCAGAACCCTGCCCACGTCCCATGTGGGGAATCTGTGTATGGTGGGTGAACTGATGTTAGCCGCGAGCCACTAAGGGCAGGAGAGAGTCTCAAATGACAGTGATATTAGGACCGACGCCAGTGCTGTCACTTGCCTTTTTAGGGTGTTGACAGAAAGACCCATGTCCACCTCTTGTTGAAGGAAGTCCAAAACTGAAGGGACAATGCCTTAGTTGGAATGATGTTGTGGCTGACACATGAAGGCCCTCCAGGTAGCATCGTAAATATGGTTGGTGGAGGCATGCCTGGAGGCTTGGAGAGTTTGTATGACCCCTGGAGAGAGGTTGGCTGCTGCTAAGGCTGTCTGCTCAATCTCCAGGTGGTCGACTGCAACCAATGTGGGTCTGGGTGGATGAGATAGCCCTGTGTTAGGATGGCCCTGGGTAAGGGGATCTGCTATGGAGAGATTCACCAAGTCCGCAAACCACGGTCTGCACAGCCGGGGGGAGGCAGGAGAACAAGCTCCATCCACTCCTCGATCATCTTGCAGATTACCCTCTGGACCAATGGAAGGAGGGGGAATGCATAGAGGAGACCCTCTGGCCACCTGCAATGGAGAGCATCCATCCCTACTGACCCAGGGCCTGCATACTTGGTGAAGAAGGTGGGCAGCTTGTTGTTGAGGTGAGTCAAGAACAGGTCTATCATTGAAACGCCGAACTTGTTGGTCAGTTCGAGGAACAGTTCTGGTGTTATACTCCATTCTGCATGATCCTTGGGAGCGGCTTAGCCAATCCACTTGAACGTTGCCCACTCCGCTGATGTGTTCCGCGTGGAGGATCAGCAGGTGCCGTTCCGCCCAGATGCCCAGGCAATTCATCTCGTCCATTAGAGCGCGGGACCGCATGCCCCCTTGGCAGTTGATGTGTGCCTTTGTTATTATGTTTTCCATGAGGACCAGCACATGGTGGTCTGTTACTAGTGCTCGGAACTGCTTGAGTACAAGGTGGAATGCTCTCAGTTCAAGCCAGTTGATGTTGTGTTTTGTCTCCTGAGGAGACCAGATGCCCTGTGCTATCTGAGTGTGGAGGTGGGGCCCCCAACCCACGACCCTGGCGTCCGTCGATATCGTTATGCAGTCTAGTTCCCTGAAGGAGGACCCACTGGCAACCGCTGGTGAGAGCCACCACCCCAGGGACCGGATTACCTCTTTTGGAATGGTGACTAACCTTGTGGAGCAGCTTCTGTTGGCTCTCTGGTGTGGAAAGAGGTATCACTGCAGGCTTTGACTGTGCAGCCAGAACTATGGGAAGATGCCGAAACAGGAGACCATTTTGCCCAGGAATTGGGAAAGTCGGAGAAGGGATGTTCTGCGGCTCTGCTTCACTTGTTAGGCCATTTCCTGTAAGCTAGAGAAATGGTCTGGAATGAGAAAGACTGTGCCCTGCACCATGTCGATTACTGCGCCTCGGTGTAACAGTCGTGTCGTGGAAACAAGGTGGTTTTTTTCCATGTTGATGGAGAAGCCATGGTCCCTGAGGGCTGAGAGAGTGGCCTCGAGATCCTTGCATGCCTGATTTGCTGACCTGGACTATATTAAGATGTCATCCAGGTAGCACTGCAGTCTGATGGGCAGGGCGCAAAGGTGGGCTGCCAATGCTGCAGGGACCTTTGTAAATACCCTCGGTGTGGATGACAGCCAAATGGAAAGCCCCTGTACTGTGCTGTGTTGCATAGCAAATCCATAGGAATTGTCTGTGGGCAGGTAATATGGAAACGTGGAGGTATGTCTTCGTCAAGTCCAGGCTGGCATCCACAGTGTACAGCTTCTTATCATTGCTAGAGGGGGTAGCCATGGTAGCAGGCTGGGGCCATTGCTTCTGAACCAAATTAAGAAACATCTTGGGAATAGGAATGATCTCCTGGACCGAGACCGGTTCCTCAAACAAATCCCCAGACAAGTCATCCAGTTCAGCAGGAGCTTGAACAGGTGGAGTGGACCCCATATGGGTGGCCAGCTTGGCGTTGTCTAAAATGGTTTTGAAATTTGCAACATTAAATAGTCCTGAAGAAGAGGGCTTCTGAACTGCTGTACCTTCCTTCCCCGAGAATTCAGCCTCCTGAACAGGCAGAATGTCATCCCCCTCCTCC